GAAGAGGTTCTGCAACTGGAGAAGACACAAAGTCTCTACTTGTACTTGAGAGAAGAGGAGGGGAAATTTGCGATCTGCACCGTGAAGAAAAGAAGAGGCGGAGGGGGCTTTGGTTTTTTGCGGTTTGTGGAGATGAGGACGACGTAACAGTGAGGTGGTTGGGATTTATTTGAAGATTGAGTTTTTTGTTACTTAGATGAGATCAACAGTTGAGAGTAACTTAAAAAAAGAAAAGTTTTAATGACAATTGAAATCACTCTAGAAATATCTAAGCTTAATCTTTTCTCATTCCAAATTCTTCGCCGATTATAAAGGTCTTTTCCCTTTTAGAGTTTAAAATAAATAGAAGATAACCCAGTCTTATCTAAACAAGATCAATACGTATCAACTAAAACAAACTAAAATGTCATCAATCCTGTCAATGAAAATAACCTCATTATTATTCTAACAATAACCAAATCAAATTTGAAAATCTCCGAAAACATCTACGCCAAGTTCCTTTAGAATAAGATCTAATAATCTGATCCTTATCAACTCTCCTTGGCTTGCAGAGATTCGTCTCTGGTGACTGATTGTGATTTTGCTAGGGTAGGCCTGAGTTAAGTTTTTGAACATTTTGGACCTGTAGCTAAGAATCCTCTGATGATGGACGTCCACGCCAATGAGTCAAGTACTAACTCTGAATTTCTTTCTCAACAGTCAATCAATACTATCTTATTATTTAGGATTTGCTCGATCACATTTGTAGTCCTCTGTTTGTTAGCATAGTAGGCGATGACGGCAAGTTGACTGATGGTGAAGTGGTTATATAAAAGTTGTCATATTCATTGGCTCGTTATAAGGAACTAGATCTTCTATATTGAAAATAGGGCTTATGTGCATCTCCTTTAGCAGATCCCAGCTCATACGCACTCGGTCTAATATGCCTAGTTGTCCAATATGGGCTTGTTAGCCATGCATGGAGCTTCTTCATGGTTCCTGATGTGAACGTCTCAGGTCACAATTTAACAAGCACCCATCAACTGTTGTAAACTCCTGCACACATCTATAATTATCTGCTATCCATTTATAAGATTCAGTACTCAAAGCAATTTTACGCTTTGTTTCTAGATGTAGGTCATGCTTATGCAAATGAATTCACTAAGCACCAAATCTAGGACCTAAATATATTGATGCTAAGTCTATTGGTTTCCTAGGTTGATATCTAATTACGGCTTCAAAAGGACTTAATCCAATAGACCTATTAACAAAACTATTGTAAGCAAATCGGCCATGGACATAACTAAATCTATCACGCCGTATTATCCAATATTTGATGGAAGGGCACGTGTCAAGGTGACAAGCCAATAACAATAGGTATGAAGATCTATTGTCAAAGCCATCCCCGCTCCTTGTGGCATCATCTCCACAATTGCGCTCCTCTTCGGCAAGTGTGCATCTCCCATAAATCTGCTTAACTCTTCTTTCTCTCTCTTTCTCGCTTGAGTGCGTGCACATGAAAACAAAAGGGGAAGATGGATTTTTATTGTGGGTTTGATGGTGCATAGGCAATAGAGGTGGTGTTTGTGGTACCTTCAGTTCGGCGTTAGAGTTGAAGGGTTTTGTTGCAAGTAGGTGGAGTAGAGAGTTATTTGATTATGCAAGAGAAGGAGACATTGGTGTTTGAAAAGGGGGTCAATCATGATGGCACGGGGAGAGTTTTGGGTTGTGATGGTGACAGAGGGTTGAGAAGAAGAGGAAAGGTAGGTTGTTGAGAATAAGTAGGCGCACACACACGTATATGTATATGTATATGAATGCGCGCGCGCGCACGCACGCACGCATAGGGGTGGAAGTGAACAAAATATTTAATAAACAGCTCGACTAATATTCGTCCAGATATTCAGTCATATTCGATCCGATAGTTCATTTAATACTAAATGAATATTTTTCAGTATTCGGCTTATAAACGAATAGAATTTAAACTAAAGGTATATTTGATTCGACTGATTATTAACTATTTATAACTTTTTATATGTTAATCCTATTTATTAAACTTGTTGTAAATATTACCCATCAAAATTTTTATTACAACTTCTACTCATATATAAATAGACATGTTAAGGGACCTAGGGTTTCACATATCAGTCTCCTTTGGATCATCAACAAACGGTTCAGATTTATTCCCAACACCTCATGACCCAATATAAATAGCTTTCTGCCATCTCCTAAACCCTAGATCAGGCAGCCGAACTCCCCAAGTCCCCATCTTTTATCTCCATTTCTCGATGACTTATGCTCCTCCCTACCCGTGACGACGCCCTCCTCCCGCTCCGACGACGCCCTCGTCCCTCCCCGCGACGACGTCCTCCTCCCTCTCCGAAGACGCCCTCGCCCCTCCCCGCGACGACGCCCACTTCCCTCGATCTTTGTAGATCTTGGAGATTTTGTGCCGTGATTCTTTGATTTTTTTCTCACTGGAAAGGTAAAAAAACCCTTTGCAATTAATCTGTGTACTTTTTTGAGTCTGCATTTCCATATTCATTTAGTTTATAACAACTTAGTTAATGAATAATTTTATACCAAAATACGAAATATTGTTAATCGAATGTTCGCGAATAGTTACCGAACACGAACACAACTAAACGAAGCGAATTTGAATTCTAAATATTATTCGAGTCGAATTCGAACACGAATACGAATACCGCTAATTGAGCCGAATTCGAATTCGAATAAGGCATTGTTTGTTCAGATTCGCTCGCGCGTGCGCACGCGCGCGCGCACACACACACATATATTTATTTATATTTATGTTTATATTTATATTTATATTTATATGTATACACACACACACGTATGGTTAGGTTATAGTAAGTTTTGGATTTGTGGATATGTGTTTAGGGTTTCATCATGGAGTTGAGCTAGTGACACACATGGGGTCTTGGGGATAATCAGAACAGACTATAATTAGAGTTGTGATATGTATATGCAAATTTGGGAGTTTAATGGGGTTTTGTGCAAAATGCATAAGCAGGTGCGAGGAAGGCGGGTGCAACATGTCAGCTTGTTGTGTGTCCTTCTGTCCGTTGGTGGGTGGGGAAGCACGACATATTTGATTTTAATCATGACCTACTCGTATTAGTTCTTCAAATAGTTTCATAGAATTGAGTCATTTTGTAGTTGTAATTGGATGTCAACCTAGAAAATCAATAGACTTAGTAACGATACCTTTCAATCCATATTTAGTGCTTCAACAGACTCATTTTCACGACACATGTACCTTTAAAAATAAGATGGAAAATTGCTTTTAGTAATGAATTCGATAAAATGGTAGTTGATAGTCATAGCCGTGTGCAAGAATTTATGACATGGGTGATTGTTCGAGTGTGACTTGACATGTTATCGCTAGAACTATAAAGAAGCTCCATTTAGGGCAAACCGGTCCTTACAGTGTCATAGGCACGGATCTAGTACTTAAGAGCTAGATATGCCATAAGCGATGGGCATAACCTAGCTCGCTATTATTTATTATGCTGCTAGATAGAGTACCACAACCAGATTTGATCGGGCAAATTCTGTAATGAGATAATATCGACTGTAGACAAGGATTTTAGGGGTACTTAATTCAATGACGTAGATGTTCACCACAAGAGGATTCTTAGCTACAAGCAGAAGAAGTTCAAAAGCTTGACCCAGATTCGCTCCAGCATCAGCATTCCCCATATGTGAATCTCTAAGCCGTGGAGAACTGATAGGGATCATTGTATCAGATTCTATATTGAGGAACTTGTTATAGATGTGTTTGAGATACTTTCATTTTTTGCTTTAGTTATTGTTAGGATAAGAATGAGGTTATTTTCATGATAGGATTTTCATTGTTTTAATCTGATTTAGTTGATAAGCGTCGATCATGTTTAGATTCGATTGTGTTATTTTCTCTTTATCTCAAATTCTCTAAGAGAGAGAACCTTCTTTGTAAGCGGCGGTTAATTTGGAATGAGAAAAGTTTGATTCTAGGGATTTCTGGAGTGATTCCATTCTAATTGTGATTTTAAGTTTTTCTTTTTCAGATTAATGTCTATTGTCGATCTCATTCAACTTCCACAAAAGAACCCCTTATCCGTCCCCACTTCATGTCATCTCTCTATTGGGATTAGCCTTGAATTTCAACCTGGAAGACGTCAATAGAGTCATAAGTGAATCATGAAAAGAAGTAGCAAAGCATTAGGCATTAAACTGATTGTTCTAACCGGTTGGTGGCTCTGGCCATGCACCGACATGTCGGGCTGATGCCGGTTGGACCTATTGGGTATTGTATTCGGGTTTGACCCTGTAAACACTTGTCTTCTAAGTCTAGTATTAGTATCTAAGCCAAAGGAGAGTTGCATATTGTAAAAGAGTTGCACAGAATAACTAAATCAAGTAAAAAAAATATCTCGAGCACATCTACACCAAGTTCTTCTAGAATAAGATCTTATACTCTCATCCCTGTCAACACCCTTTCCTTACACTTATTCTAACCCAAGAAAGAAAAACAATATTATCAACCAAATTGCTTAATCCATCACAATTTTTTTTACTAAATAAGTTAAACTATATCACAACCAAATTTCTGAATTGGACTTTAAGCTATGGTATCATAAAGCTTTCTCCAGAATATTATTAATTACAATTCAAGGGATTTGTTTTCATCGAAGTGAACTTTGTAGTTATGCAACTTGGGGCGTTAAAATTCAGAGGACTGACATGAGTTTGAATTGTTGATAGCTGATTGTAGAAGTTTGACAGAACTTTTTGGTGCCTTCCTAACACTCAGTTACAGTCTTTTGGCACCTTTTTGATGGGCAAAGGTTTTAATTATGATACCATCCAGATGTCACGTGCTTTTCCTGTGGGCTCAGTTAGGCTTGGTTCTATGAGATCCCCTAAGAATTGTGTTCTCATGGAAGATGTGAAACCTCTCCTACACTGTATGCATTAGAAAGTAGATTTCTTTTCGGGTTTTCCTGACATTTATATATTGCAATTTGCCTGTGGATAGACAATTAAGTAGGATGTAGAAGAACACATTTTCTTGGATTTTCATTTTCCACATAAATTTTATTATAATTCCATGTATAGGTGCCTCAGTTTCTATTCCTTCATGTATGGTATTCCTTCATGTATGGTAATAAAGCATGTAATAGCTTATCTCATTATTTCAGTTTGTTTTAGCTATATGCATTAATTCCTCTTACAAAAATCTAAATGATTCTGTCATTGCCAGCGATTAAAGCTGTTGCTACTCCAGATCCGGTAGTGGAATTGCCACTCACTGCAGAAAATGTGGAGTCTGTTTTAGATGAAGTGCGTCCGTATCTTATTGCAGATGGAGGAAATGTAGCATTACACGAGATTGATGGGAATGTTGTAAGACTAAAACTAGAAGGGGCATGTGGATCATGCCCAAGCTCTACGATGACAATGAAGATGGGTATTGAGCGTCGTTTGATGGAAAAAATTCCAGAAATTGTTGCAGTGGAACCCATAACTGACGCGGAGACAGGTCTTGAGTTAAATGCAGAGAACATTGAGAAGGTAATTATTTAAAAGTGTTCCTGTTTCTTAGTATGACTAATTTGTTTTATACAGCTAATATACACTTTAATAAGTTTCTCTACTTTTATTTGAATGTGTATTCAAGTGAATGAGTTACAGTTTGGTGCGTTTGGATATGTATGGGAATTAAAGTTAGCATACTAGTTGGCAAGTTCATAAATACAGATGTATTTGACCTTGGCTCCTTGATTGGTACTGTGTCTTAGAGGTAAATGTGATGCATTATGTTAAAACTTACATCATTACCTCATTTTCTTTTATTTTTCATTGTCTAGATGACTTTAGAGTCTTTCTCCTTAGAATTCATAATATGTTATTTGGAAGATAGATTTTGGAGGTGAAAGAAACAAGGAATCTAGCCCTGTTCCCTTGACATTCGTGCTGTGAACTTATAGTTTGAAAAGGAAAAAGATGTGAACTAGATTTTCCATATTGTTTGAATCCGAGATGCCACCTAGGAAAACTTCTTTTGAATGACCTTCAATCTCAAGAATTGGAAGTCATGAAACATGGGAGACTATTTCTTGATTATTTATTATTATTTTCATTTTTCTCCTAGAACACAGGTTGAGGAAGCAAAATGGAAATGAATTTAAAAACAAAGAACATAATACTCTTGAGATCTCCTACAGGGTTTCAAGAGTATCGAGTGCGTGGCTTAATTTTGTACTCTTGTATTGAATGTCTTTGCTGGGCTCTACTCTATAGGTCAGCTGTGGCCCAACCATGTATATCTTTGCTATATTTTTTCTGTTTTCTGATTGTTGGTAAATCTTGTGTGCTTATTTTTAATGGTTACTGTTCATGCTTCCACTTTCCATGAAGTCATTGATGATGGTAGCTATGAAATATACTAATGTCTCACAGAAAAAGGTTGGTCTCCGACTTGTCAAATAGCAGTTAGGGTTCTTTGACAAATCCACTCTTGTTTATTTTGCTTTAACATGGATCTTGGCACCAATTTGAGTTGACGTTAGGTTGTCAAGCTGCTCCTAAAACTTCTTCGATTCCTTTCTGGATCTGCCTCGTTCTCCATATCTAGCAATATTTTTATGAGAAAAGGCTTGGATGATGATGATGATGACAAGGTGATTAAGAATGGTTCTCTTGTCTTTATTGGTTAGGATTTTTCCGTGAACCAGGTAGAGCCTTTCATGATGCATAAAAATCCAGTGAACTTTCTGGATATGCGCTTTTTCTGTTCAGTTTACAGATCAAGGTACAGTGTGGAAAATGAGAAGGCTTTTTAACTTTTTATATGACCTGCTATTATTAAACCTTCCAGGTGTTGGTATTGGATAATTGATCAAAATCAGTTCACATGAGAAAATGATGTCTTGGAACATGCAAGTCTGTTATTTTAGCTACAACCTTTACCCTGCATGCAAGTGCTAGGTTTGTGAAGGACAAGTTCATCAAATGTTCATTATAGCAGCCTGAGTATCTTCTAAGTTCAAAGGACTACGAGAGGGAAGTTCTTTCTGTAGATATGAGGTTCTTCTTGAATGAACTCAGCATTCTCATCCATCAAGTCTAATGATGAGTACCCTTCTTTAGTTAGGAATGGCCTATTATTGGAATTTCAGAATGTCGGAACCTAGCCCATTATCGTGCCTTCACAGAACACATAGGGATTATGAGCTATATTTTTCCTTTGAAGTTTTTCTTGTTCCATGAGAGACTAACCTACTATAAATTTACCATCACTCTCCCAGGCTGAAGGCATTCATTTCATTGTCAGCTAAACATTTGACCACAAACCTCAAGTGCTGCAATGGCCAAGCATTCTTTTGCCCTTTAAAATGTCATTAGTGTCGTCATCTCTGGTTTCTTTCCACTGGTTTCTTTCCATTCGCAAGTGTAGCCTTTATTGTTATCATCCATTACGAAAGTTATGTTGGTACTATGCCTTAAATTTTGATTTTGATTTGTACTTATATATGAAACTGACATTTCGCAAGATTTTTGTTATCGTTTCTTCTTGCTGCATTGATCCAGCTATTGAAGTATCCATCGCCTTTTTTTCAAACTAAACATTTTCTTGTGATTGCTGATGTCTCAGGTACTTGATGAGATAAGGCCATACCTCGTAGGTACAGGTGGCGGTGAGCTTGAACTTGTTGCCATTGAGGAGCCAATAGTTAAAGTTCGACTTTCGGGGCCAGCAGCAGGAGTCATGACTGTTAGGGTTGCATTGACGCAGAAACTGAGAGAGAAGATCCCTGCAATTGCTGCAGTTCAACTTTTATAATATCCATCAGGAGCTCGTCTCTCTCGTGTATTACTTCATACCCTCAAAGGGAGCTATCTCTGTATAGTTTCCACTGTTTATCTGGAAGCAGTGGTATCTTGAAATTTTACCTACAGACCAGTATGCAGTACGATATTGTTGTGATCCATAGCGAATAAGAATGTAACAAATATTATTCAGAGAGATAAATGAAATATCATTCTCGTTTTTGATGTATTGACTCTGCATTTATGTTGTTGTGCTGTTACTGATAAGGTTAAATGTTGAGTTTGAATCCTCTGCATCCTTGATTGTAGGAAAATTTAACAAACTCGTGATTGCTCAATATCATCGCTTCTTCGTGGGAGCTTCTGCAGGGGTATTAGTCACTGCGGGAAATCTTAGTGATGACGTGTACAATTGCTCCGAAACCAAGGATGTAGATGATTCAAAGCCAGCATTGGAAACCTCTGTTGTATCCTTGGACTGTAGGGAAATCTTAGGCATGTTTGGGAGCTTGGCTTATAATTCATTTGGTTTATAGTCCACAAATAAAGTATAAGCCAAATGGATTACAAGCCAAAGTGTTTGGTAAAAAAAAAAGGATTATAAGCCGCTTTAATGAGAGAGTGTTCGGCAAATGGCTGGATTATAATCTATTATTATTATGAAAATGATCAAATTAGACATGACTCTAAATCTAAACATAGAATAGACTTTGATATTATCTTAAATGTTGAGAGATAAACTTGATATTTACTTGGTCAAACTATATGACTTAAAAATAAGCTCCAGCTTATTCTCTTAGGCTTATAAGCCAAAATAAGTCAGTCGTCAAACATGCTGCAATGACTTATAATCTAGTTTTGCCAGTTGCCAAACATACCCTTATAATTTGTAATTTGAAATGATAGCATCTTTTCCTTCCACGAGCCTTGTGTGAGATTACCTATGAAATTTTATAAGCCTGCAAGAGGTAGAGATGTTACTAATTCATTTAAAACCTGCAAGAGGTAGAGATGTTACTAATTCATTTAAAAGATTCCTACGTACAATTAAGGATGTACAGATTTAAAGCCAAAGGATCTGTGAATTTAAAGCCAATTGATGCGTTCACTCGGTTCCTTGATTGATCTGTTGTTGATGTATCACACATTTATTCTTCGCCTATGATTTAGTTATATTGATGATGTAGCCTATAGCAACGGAATGTACACGTTAGCATCACACTTGTCCTATAACTAAGCTTAAACTTTGTTATTAAAAATACAAAAGCCTTGTAGCACTCCAAGTTATTTTCAAGCTTCACGAGAATCATATCATTGATCCTCCTATCATTACAGTGTATACTCCAATTTTAGCTAACCATCCATTAAAAAAAAAACCCTAATAAATACTTTGCTTTTTAAGGTTGTGCTCTAAAGCAATGAATCACCTTAATTAATTGTATCTTTTTTGTCACGGTTGTATGCTGCTCCATACAAGTGTAAGAATTATTTCAGAAGAAGTTGGTGATCAACAGAAGACGACGCATAACAGATCGATTCATATTGTGGTTGTATTTGATCCTTAGGCTCCAATTATTCAGGAGCTATGATTACTTCTTTGCTTTTTTAATTAATTTTCTTTGACCAAATTTTGATATATATGATATATATTTTTGCCTAATATCGTTAACATCTTGATTTCTATTTGAATCTGATATATGATTTTATGGGAGTTGCACTAAAGTTATCTATGCATTGCATTATTAATATTGACTAATCACATGATTGAGGACAGTGTTAATTTTGATGCTTATACGGCATCTATACATGATTGAGAAACTTATCATGTTCAATTATTCAGTTCCTAAATAGTTAAGCTCGTTTGATTATCATAACTTGTGGGTCCTTTTTTTTAATGCAAAGAAGTAAAATACATGGAAAGAAACAGCCCAAAAGGTTGATTGCGGATAAGACCCCCTAATATCTATATTTCCAATTTAATGCTCTTCTAGTTTTATTTTAGCAGATAGTCTCTTTGAGTAATTTTATTTACTATTTCACCTCAAAGGATCAACTTGGAGAAAAATAATTTCTCTCTCTGAGGGTAAAAAGAGTTTAAGAATTTTACTTGGGAGGTCTATCTGCGAAATTAATATTAGAGGTGTTGTGAGTTCACAAATTCCGCCAATAAGGGATTTATCTCCAATTAATTAAAAAATAATAATAAAATTGTACACAATTGATTCTTTAAAAGTTTTGTTGAAAAGCTTTTAAGATGTGCTGAGCAATTGTGGTGACAAAACAAATCTTTAGTATCTCGTGACCTATGATGTTGATTGGTAATATGAGAGTATATGGATAGTGGAAAATTAAATGAAATACTTTCTTGAGATTCTGATAAGTACTTTATTATGACTATTTGTTTACGGAAATATTTTTTAGATTTGAGACTACTTTTTTGTTTTTTGGTTTGCTTTCCATTTATTTTTTAGTCAGAAAGGTAGGTCTAAATGTCAAACATCCCTTCCACTGCATAAAAACTCCAAAGTTATACTGATATTTGAGTGCTACTTTATACTTTAATATTTGCACACAAGTTGAATGTCCTTTTCCATGGGCTAGAATGGACTTCCACTATTGTATCATGTATTTAAATTTATTTTGATATTTATGATTAGTGAGATTTAATATCGTATCACAAATCCCTTCTATTTCATCAAAACTTCAAAATTGTAGTCAAGACTAAGGCTTTGTTTGGCAAAACTAGCTGAAAGCTGCGAGATTATAGCTGAAAGCTGTTAAGCTAGCTGAAAACTGTGAAATTATAGCTGAAAGCTGTTAAGCTAGCTGAAAACTGTGAAATTATAGCTGAAAGCTGATAGCTGTGTAGCTAGTTAATTGATTAGAGCTGTTTGGCAAAAGTAGCTGTAAAACTAGCTTAAATTTGTTAAATGACTAAAAAGAACATGCAATATTATTGATATAAAATTAGAATTATCAGGGACAAAAACGAAATAAAAAAATTGGCAGCTCCTTCCCAAAGACAAACGCTACTTGAGATAGCTTTCCAAAAGCTACTTGCAAAAGACACAATCTTCAAAATAATCCCCTCCTATTTTTGGTCACCAAACAGCTCTACTAGCTTATTGACCAAGTCAATAAGACACAATTTCTTAGATAAGACACAATCTCTTGTTGCCAAACAGTGCCTAAGGCACTGTTTGGCAACCAAAAAAAAAATATCTTATCTAAGAGCTTGTGTCTTATTGACTTGGTCAATAAGCTAGTAGAGCTGTTTGGTGACCAAAAATAGGAAGAGATTATTTTGAAGATTGTGTCTTTTGCAAATAGCTTTTGGAAAGCTATCTCAAGTAGCGTTTGTCTTTGGGAAGGAGCTGTTAATTTTTTTCTTCCGTTTTTTGCCCCTAATAATTTTAATTTTATATTAATAATATTGTATGATCTTTTTAGTCATTTAACAAATTTAAGCTATTTGTATAGCTTCTTTTGCCAAACAGCTCTAGTCAATCAGCTAGCTACACAGCTATCAGCTTTCAGCTATAATTTCACAGCTTTCAGCTAGCTTGACAGCTTTCAGCTATAATCTCGCAGCTTTCAGCTAGTTTTGCTAAACAGTGCCTAAGTGGTGTACTTTTATACTCTATAACCTTAAAGTTTTGATTTAGGTTCAGAAAAGAAATTAAAAAAGAAAACACTGAAAAAAAGGAAAATAAAACTATATACACCTCAATCGTTTCAAAAAAAAAATAAATGATGCCAAGAGTTGCTACATCCTTAAAAAAATAAAAATAAAAGCAATAATAATCTCATAATTGTGGATACGTCATTTTCACGAGACAAAGATTGACCTATTAAACGTGAAGCAACCGGAACACGAACATAGACATGCCTCCATGTGGATAGCAAATAACCTTACGTGGTAACATATTCTCCAAATTTTGGATCCTAAGTAAAACAATACGGCAAATAATAATATATGTGAATTTTATTATTAACTATTTATTTTTCACTTGCACCGACTTGGATTATGATTTTTTTTTAACCCCTTCAATTTTATTTTGCCTTCGATTAGTTCGGTTGGCTCCTAAGCGAAGTTACGTGTCCGTGTTGTTGACTGAGTTTGTTGAGGATATTAGGACAAGCAAAACCGGCTTCAACGAACGTTCTTTCATTTTCTTTGTCTTTGCAGCCGCAATTTTTGGAAACGCGCTTTTAGAGAAATAAAATTATAATCGATAGCCTGCAAGATAAATACACCCTCATTTTCAAAGACGTAGAGTATGAATCTTATTAGAAAGGTACATTTTAAAGTGTGTAATTAAATACACCCAACATAATAGGACAAATTTTCAAAATCAACCAATTTCGAAATTTAAATAGCAAAATCGACCTATTCGAAGTTTAATCAGCAAAACCGACCCTTTTCTTCTGAAAATGGTCGGTTTTGCTACCGAAATTTTTTTACGACATACACGGGATTGCTAGTCTCGTGTATTTCATGACAGTTTGAATAACACGGGACTAGCAGTCTCGTGCGATCGGGGGGTAAAAAACCCACCCGTGAGTTTGACCGCACTCCTTTTCACCCAAACCCTTTCACCCCCCTCTTTCACCCGCTCCTCAAACCCACCGACGCCGACACTTCCGCCGCCGACCAAGCACCCTCCGACCACCTCCGCCGCCGACCAAGCACCCTCCGACCACCGCCGCCGCCGACCAAGTTCGCTCCGACCGTCGCCGCCGATCAAGGTAAATGTTACATATGATGGATTGTTGATTTTCAGCTTCGATGGCAAACTCTATACCCATTATTTGCTTCTTCAATGGGAGCCTCGGCGTCGGATTGAATAGTATGCCGATGTATGAGGGAGGTTCTAGGAAAATGTTTATGCTATCCAAGTCATTAAATTTTGATGGAATGATGAATGAAATACACAGAGTTACGAAAATTAATAAAGCATGTTATGCAATTAAAGTGTTCTTCAATTGTCCGGTAAATGAGAGTAGAACTATTGCTGTGGCGATTACCGACGATGAGGAATTGAATGACATGAAACAATTAGTGGAGAAGCAAGTGTCAGTTGAGTTGTTCATTGAGAAGTATCCGATTCAAGAATTTGCCCAAGTTTCACGACCACAAGGAGAGTTTTCTCGGATGATGGACTTAGACAATGAGTCGAGTGGTTTTATGACATCTCCAAGTCAAGAGCCGTGGTGTCAACTACAACATTTAAGTGGGCATTGTCTTGGTGGGACGTCAAGTATTATATTTAACGACGCATCGGGCTATGTTACGGGTGATCTACCGGCCGGATCAATTGTAGAAGAAGAAGTAAATGATGACTCAGAAGATATTGAAGAAGAAGACGTGCAAATTGATAGCATGCATGTGGCAGTTGGAATCGATGATGATTCTCGTTGGATGGATCAATTTAATGTTAACAATGATTATGTGGAAGTTGAAGATCCGTTGCCCGACGAGTTTCATAATGAAGATTGGATAAATACTTCGCAAGCTGAATTTGTTGATGTTGGTCCAAACTTTCAACGGCCTGAGGACTTCACTTTTAAAAAAGGGGACCTATTCGAGAGCAAGGAAGCATTAATCTTTGCGGTGCGAGAATGGTCTATCAAAAATCGGGTCAAATTCAAGCCTGTAAAAACTAATGCAACCAACTACTATGTAAAATGTTATTTCAACGAGAAGAATGAAGTAGAGCATGCAAATGAGCAAGATGAGAGAAACAGGAAATGTCCTTGGTTGCTAAATGCCGCTGTGAGGAAATCAACAAATGGGCAATTTGTAATATCTAGATATTGCGGGCTTCATACATGTTGCAATCTTTCGGTGGACGTCGATCATTATTCTGCATCTTCCTCTTATATGTGTAAGCTAATTATGCCTGAAGTTAGAGCTGAACTTGATCTAAATGCAAGTCAGATATTTCAAAGGGTATATGATATGCGGGGCATTAAGATATCTAAATATAAGGCATATGATGCAAGGAGGAAAGCGTTGTCGAAAATATTTAGAGATTGGGAAAAATCATATGAATTACTTCCACAGTATCTTGAAGCTATCAAACGAAATAATCCGGGTACTGAATATGAAATATTGTCTGAAGAGATTGCACCGGGGATGGAGAGGTTCACTCGAGTATTTTGGGCATTTGGTCCGGCTATTAAGGGCTTCACTTTTTGTCGTCCGTTATTGAGCATTGACGGTACACATCTATATGGCAAGTACAAAGGCGTGCTTCTTGTGGCGACCGGTGTAGATGCAAATGGCGGTTTATTTCCTCTAGCATTTGCAGTTGTGGAGGTAGAGGATACTTCTAGTTGGAAGTGGTTCTTTGAACTTATATACAAGTGGATTCCTAGTGTCCGTGCGCCCAGATTAATTACTTTTATCTCAGATAGGATGAAAGGAATTATAAGGGCATTACATGAGGGTTTTGGTGCACCACATCACCATCGATATTGTTTGAGGCATATAAGAGATAATTTTAAGAAAAAACACGGTGAGATTAATTTGCAAAATCTTTTGTGGCAAGCTGGGTGTGCAACCGATACATTAGTGTATGAACATTGTAGAGAGAAGATCAAGTCTTTGTCATTAGATGCACATAATTGGATTGAACATAACTTGAAGCCTCAATTCGAGCATCGATGGGCATTATGTAAGGATGAGGGTGTGCGGTTTTGCATGATGACAACTAATTGCTCCGAGAGCTTTAACGGCGTTCTTAAAGGAGCACGAGCTATGCCAATACAATCATTGGTTGCAAGAACGTTCTATAGGCTAAACTCATACTTCAACAAAAGGCGTGAGGACGGTGTAGACTGGACAACGCGTTACACACCAAAGAATGAGTCTATTTTGCATAGAAGAATTGAGGCGGCAAGATTATGTCAAATTACTGTATTCAATGACAATGAATGGCAGGTGCAGGATTATGACGGTATCTACACCGTTAAACTGTTTGATGTTGATTGCACTTACACATGTAACATACCACAACTTTAAAAAATACCTTGTGCACATGTTCTTGCGGCTTCCTCCAATCAGCCGGGTGGTGCGAGAATTCCATAGAATCGGTATTGTTCACCATGGTATTTAACAATTCATTACCGAAAGACATACAGTGAGAGTTTTCATCCACCCGATGATAGTCGGTATTGGCCCGAATATACTGGACCACGGCTAATTCTACCTCAATACAAGAGACAAGCAGGTCGACCACGATCTGTACGAATTAGGGGAACCATGGATCAAGGACGAGAAGGAATTGTCAAGCATAAAAAATGTAGTCTTTGCAAACAACCGGGACATACTCGACCTCGTTGTCCAGCTAGACTAAATAGATAGCAATTAATTGGTAATAATTGACATATTTAAATTGTGATTTATTTTAATGTAGACAATATATAGTGCCGTTGCCTTTTGATGTGGCTAAAAGAGACCTTCTCGGTACCGTTGCCTTTTGATGCGCCACAAATATTGATTGAGCAACATGCACGTGCATACATTATGCACATGATCGGTTCAATATTATTTCCAGATTCGAGTAAAGATAAAGTGCATGCCAGGTATCATTTTTATCAGTATTTACAATTATGTCTGTTCATTTAGCTTATTTTGATAACTTGAAATGTTGTGAAAATGCTAGGTGGTTACCACTTATCGGGGACTTGGACACGTGTGGTGCGTTATCGTGGGGTAGTGCGGTTTTGGCGTACCTATATAGAGAGATGTCTAAAGTTGCATTCATGAAAAATAGTGACCTCAAAGGGTGTCTCAGCTTACTGCAAGTATGGGCATGGGAGAGGCTGCATTTGAAGCCGAGACTATGCGTGAATTTACAATTAGACGGACAAATTCCACTAGGATGCAGGTATTATATTTTTTAACGTAGTAAATATAATTGTAGTTATTCATTTGGTACTGAATTTTGAAACTAACACAGATGGAATGTCCAAAAATGTTTTGACGAGACCCCGGCGAGACAGTTAGATTTCTACCGAAATGAGCTTGACCGCATGAAGATTTTTCAGGTATCATTTCTATAAAAACGAGTTTTTTCTTCTATATATCAACTTTCGTTTTAATGATATGCAACAATTATATGTAATACTCTGTAGATGGAATGGGAGCCCTACACCCCATTTCTCGATCATCTACCCCCGATATGCACAGAATACCCAGTTATATGGAGAGCCAGAGTTCCTCTAATATGTTTCGAGATAGTAGAAATGCATGTACCGGACCGCGTGCTTCGACAATTTGGTCTTGCACAACATGTTCCGCAATTTGTTGAAAAAATAGAGAGGAAGGCGAAGAAAGGAGGCCAACAAAAGGACTGGGCAGCTGAGCATCAAAATTATATACACAGATGGAATGATAGACATTTTTGTATTGTTGAGCAAATCGAGCCAACTCCCCAGGAATCAGATTACTACACTTGGTATTGGAGGATAACTAGAAGATGGATACTCCATGCGACCACATCCTCGGTTGAGTTGCAAAGAGGATATGTGCCTCGGGGTATAGATGAAAGAGAATTAGTAAGTATTTTCAAATTTATTTTAGGTTCATTTTTATTAGAATTTTTCAATATTGCTAAATTATGTTTTTTTAAAAATTTGCAGGTATCAGCAATAGATGATGTTCAAACCATTGCAAATAGTGGCTTGGAATTGGCTGGAGCAGGTAATATAGAATTAAATATAAAATTTACATATTGTAATTTGAATTTTAAAGTAATTTTTGCATTTCGGATTTTTTTGAATTATCTCTCGCAGGTACATATCCCGAAGCACAGAAACATGCATCAATATATCAGTCGATAATGCAGAGGCTTCACCAAGCCTTACATCGAACTCATGAAGACCTTCATGATGGACGAGAAGTACCTCAATTAGTATACACACGTCAACAACGACACAGACGAGGACGACGCAGAAACGACAATGAAGCTGGGCCTTCCCAACGTGTTGACGATGGAGCTGGACCGTCACAACCACAAACGCAACCGGATCATGAACTCATCGAAGGTCGGGATAGAGGAGGCCGAAGACAAAGGAGGAGGAGAAGAGTTCTTGGATGTATGTAAGCTAATTGGTATTGTTATATAAATTACAATCCTATTTTGATATGTACATTACAAACGTATTTCGGGACAATAGATGGTTTTTGGATTTGTAGCTGAGATTGTGGTGTGACTTATTAGATTTGTAAGTGGTTGTGGCGTGATTTGTTGGATTTGGATTCGTAAGTTTGTAGCGTGATTTGTTGGATTTGGATTCGTAAGTTTGTGGTGTATTTTATGATTTTTAGATTTGATGTGTTTATACATGGAATTGACATATGAGTTTGTACAGGGAATTGATATATATGTTTATGCAATGGTGTAATTTATGATTGTTGCATTTGAAATATGAGTTTGTACAGGGAATTATCCCGTAGCAGAAATGCATGTGTGAATGTGCAGGAAATGCACGGGACTGCTAGTCCCGTGCATTTCATTGCGCCCAGGAAGTGCACGGGACTAGCAGTCCCGTACACTTCATTTTTGCAATCTCTGCAAAATGCAAGGGACTAGCAGTCCCGTGCACTTCATTTTTGCAGAGATGTTAGTCTCTGCAAAAAACACGGGACTGCTAGTCCCGTGTTATTCAAACTGCCATGAAATACACGGGGCTAGCAGTCCCATGTATGTCGTAAAAATTTTTCGGCAGCAAAACCGACCCTTTTCAGAAGAAAAGGGTTGGTTTTGCTGATTAAACTTCGAATAGGTCGATTTTGCTATTTAAATTTCGAAATTGGTTGATTTTGAAAATTTGTCCAACATAATATTGCAGGGCATGCAATTTGAACCGCAAATGAATGTGTGTAAGTACCACTTTACCCTCCAACACTCTACCAATTACCTCCAACACTCCCAATGCTAAGGCTCACGGGGCTTCCGTACCATGAGGAGCGTTCTGATAAGATTTGTACTCAACTCTCTCGTGCATCTCAGGAGAGTACATATTATTACATAACCCGGCCCTATAACGTTAAAGATATCAGGAAATACCTTTAAGTTTAGGGGTTATCAGAAAGCCGGCCACTTTCAACGTTCAATATTTTTCCAAAAAAAACATTCCTAAAAGCATGAACCACAATTTTCGTTGGCAAATTCTTCATATGCATAATTTTACCAACCCGTGTGAAAATTGCACTTAATACCGCTAAGGGGGGTTTATGAAAAATAATCTTAAAGTTGAAGTGGGGTTCTGAAAACCCTAAACTCCAGAGGGTTTTCTAATATTTTGGAAGTTATGTGGAGTTATCTTGTAATTGTTCAAAATTAAGCGGTTTTTTGCTTCTTTTTTATTCTACATCATCATCATCGATTATTATTATTTAATTTTTTTTTTTGAAACCCCACGAGCCACAAGTACTGTGGCGATGATTTATCGCATCAAATCAACCAGCTGCTAGCTCTACAGGAATTGAAGCAAACCATGACTTAAAACATCAGAAACTGACTTGGCTATGCATGCCATCCTATGTGCTAGCTATGCCTATATAGCTTATTCGATCAGGCGTACGTCGTTCAAGAAAACAAAAGAACACCAGTTCAGTAATTGCTCCGAAGCTTGCAAGAGATCGACTCTTCATGATATCAGCGCTCCTCTCTACCAGTACAGTCTTTGCATCCCATCGACTCTTCATGAACGATATTTCAGAACCTGTTATATATATATACTGCTTGCATGCTGACAGTCTCTCGATCTTCTCCCTTTCAATTCTCACGATTTATATGTTGAGATCTACGTAATTGCCAAATACTCCAGTTCACCATGAAAAACAAGTCGCGCCCATGCTGCTCATCGATCAAGATTCTCAACCATGCACCTTATTCGGCACGCACTTGTGCTTTCCAACTTAATTAATTTGTTTCCAGGTTCATCGCTGGACGACGCACCTCAGCCAAGGCCAACCTCTGGGTTGTTGCACTTATCATGAAAAGCTATATGATAAGCACCTCTGACATTATATAAACCTTCCAATATTACTTGTATATATAGTGCCAAATAATACCATCATGCATTATTGCATGTCTACTCGATGGTATACTTGTAATGATTAATTTCGATATCTTGTTGTTCAAAGAATTATATATCCAAGTTTGTATTCATTCCAAGCTTTAATGTACATCGTCATGTCCGAAGCTTATTCCACTTGTTTATCACACAAAGTATTTTGCCCGTGCTCGCACGGGTAATTAAGTCTTACATGTTAGATCTAAACCAAAACTTAAGATCTAAAACCATATAGCCATGATTAATTCAAAGAGATTAACAAGAAAATCATAAATGAGCGGAACTTAATATCTGAATCCCTTGGATAACATTGAGATGAGTTTTTTGGATCTTCTAGCTTAGGGTTTTCTCTAAATCCGAATGTCTCTAGCTAGATGGGGGGTGAGAATTAGAGATGTAACCCCTAGGTTAGGGACGCATACCCTTCTTTATAGTAATGTTGTACATTTACAATTTGGCCCTCAACAAATCACAATTACAAGCTGGTATCTGGCATATAACCCCATGACTATTTAATACCAAATTAACCGCAACTAATTGATCACTTTTAGTGGTATCCTGAAAGATGCAATACACATTTATGTTAATCATAACTGTGCCCACAATAGATTTATTAGATTAAATCCAATCAATCTCCCACTTGGGCACCAATGATTCCTTAACTTGTGTATAACCTTACTGAGCTCCTCAAAATTGCTATCATGAGGTATTTTTCCGCC